TAGTTTATGTTTTAGTTGGCAAATGCGTATGGTTAGTTACATTTTAAACTTTTAATTTAACTATTGTAGAATGAGCAGACAAAATCAGGGAACATCCAATTCAAGGTTTATCATCAGAATCATGGGGTTTTCTAACCAAAGGAATTGAACCACACCGAGTTCAATTGTACAATGGGTGGACATTTTCCTTGGAAGCGGGTTGGAGTGAGGAACGGGTATGAGCATGTGATTGCGCATTCCCAATAGTAGTGACATTCTAATCTCATCAGTCGAAGTTACATCAATTAATAGTTATTAATTATTTCCAATTTATCTCCCTCCAAATAAATAAAAGTACATTGTCCATCCTTGTTTTGCATTATTGGACGGAATAACGAGAAACTCAATTTTGTGAAAAATTAAGGAGATTTGTTATTCAAAATGTTTACCGTTTGTTGCAGTAAGCTGACCCGCTCCTGTAATCCAGATTTTTCCTCGGCCGCTCGGAGCAAAGCCCGTTGACGTTCTTGCTCCGCGTGAAGTCGGGCTTCATCTCGTTCTCTGGAAAAAGAGACAGAGAGAAAAAATGATAATGGTTTATCGATTGTGACCAGACAAATGGATTTCGTAAATGTGTGTGTGTGTGTGTGCAACTGGAGAGAAGCCCACCTCTGAGCTGCGAGAAGCGATCGAGTCAAACGATTCACTTCTTCCGCTGACTTGCGCAGTTCCATTTCTCTGTCTGTGATCGTTTCGGCTTCCAGTTGTTGTTGTCGCCCCATCACGGTCACCGCTTGATCAGCTCGTACAACAGCTTGTAAACACGCCTCCTCGGCTTCTTTGGCTCGTCGTTCAGCCTGATTGAGCGCGCAACGCAAGTCTTCCAACTCGGTGTTCAACTGGGTTCCGAGTTCCTTTTGACTTCGCTGTGATTTGTCCAGCTCAACCTGGAAGTTTGTGTGAGCACGTAACAGTTCGGCTGCGCCCGGAAAAAACGGGATAGAAATGAAGGTGTGATGAGCATGATCGGCAAAAAACTATTATTATTCAGCTTTAATTTCAAAAGACACTATTGGGTTCCGTTTGTTAAAAGTATGTTGCATATTTGTAACGTCCCACGGGAAAAATTTACTGAAAAACCGAACTACGCAGCATGCTTGACGTCTGTTAAATTTGGAAGCGCAATCGACTCGGATGACTACGGCAAGCCGATATATGGATGGAATGGCTATGTGTTCGGCATTGTGTATGCGACAATTTGGGTGTTCGTCTACTGAAACCATACTGGGTCTTTCTGAATGAGATAGCTTTGAATGCACCGTTGCGGCGGCGTGACTAGGTTCTCATAGTAATGACGATGAAAAACGGTTATGAAGTAAAATATTGCACAGTTTAGGAAACAAATAATACAACGACCATCTAATAGTGTAAAGCAATTGTTTTCAATTATCACCGCAATGGAGTAGTCCTTCAAGCCAAGATATTCTTACAAGAATATGAATCCACTTGTATACCTTTTACTCCTACAATTCATTCAGTTCATACTGTCAACTATTCATTTCTACCTATTTCTAGAGGCGAATAAACGAACCCGGCAGTAATTGACCTGTGTCAGTCGGGCAAGGAAGCGAATCACGTCACGATAGATAGATAAATCGGTCACCATGCCCAGACGTGAGTATTGGAATGAATCATTGCATGAATGGATCCAGGTTAGGCCCTCAATAACCCAGTGAGTAAATTCATTTAGAGTGTTAGTTCACTTAAATAACATCAATTCTTTTGAATAAAATGCCATTGTCTGCGTAGTTTTGACAGTGATCACGCACCTAACATTCTCGGGTTGGGCGGGTGGAATAAGAACAGTCCACCCCACCCCACCGAAACTTCCATCTTCGCTCAGTAACTCACTCAAAATATACTTTTGTTCGTTTACAGAAGGGGTTTAGATGGATCCGGTCTAATTGGCGAGGTTTGATGGCCAAAACACCAATCATCTTGTGGGGTTCCCAGTGGAATGCGATTGGTTGGATTCAATTAAATTTACAACGGATTCACTTGAAGTTGAAAAGTTATAGACTATACGTTTGTGTGTGTGTGTCCGTGTGTGTGCGTGATACAATAACAGTTTGTTGATCGAAACAATCCTATGTGGTCGGATATTTTATTGAATGCAATTGATTTTATACTGGAAAGGGAACAGGTTTCTTTTGCGGTATCTAACCATGTCATTATCAACTAATAACTTGAGTAGCAATCAGTATGATTTTCAGTTGTACTTCGGACAGCATCAAGTAGTGTTCCGTTTCAATTTCTTAAAATTAATTGATAATGAAATCACTTCAATAAGAGCATTTATCTATAATTAATTTGCTCGCTGAACAGTATTTTAGTTACCCAAAGGATTATGACAAGACCGAATGATAACATTTTTTGCCCTTGACAAGACCGGGATAGTGGAACAAGCAAGGTTTTATCTTCCTACAGCAACCGACTACGCGGACCTAAGCAACTGGGGCTTGGGGTTAGCACGAATGATCCTGAATCGGCTTGTCGGGTCCGAACTATGATTTGTCATCAATAGAGGCCGACCGATAGATAACGCACGTTGTTCGATGATGTTGCGTAAGAATGGTGTTTGAAAATAGTGTAACTTGGTAAAGAATGCTAGTGGTGAGTGCTGTGTGTGCATTTCAGTGTTTGAATCGGAGAATAAACTTTGATCTTTGGAATCGGCGGCTAACGCAACTCAGATTGTGACAATGGATTTGTGTTTGCAACGGTTTAACTGTTTTGTCAATGTCAACCGTTCTTTTCTCCTCCATTCTATGCTACAAAATCTACCTTGGTATAAATTGTGCCACCTAACTTTGTTTTGCTCTCTGATCAAATAATAATTTAGGAGATCACAAGATCAATTCGTCGTGTATAGATTAAACGGAGTGAGAATTGAAAAGCTGGGAAGCATGTTACCAACTCCTGCAATTTCAGATATATTATATAATTGTTATTGAATATCAGGAATGAAGAATTTGATAAATGGATGAATGCAACATAAATCAATATTCTGAGGAACGTTTCTGTCCGCCTCCATCTACTGTCTTTCTATTTTTCTGTTTATAATTAATCCTGATCAAGGGTACAGTGCACAACCGGCCTCCAGGCAAACAACCCACCTTGTAGTGTGTCACGGCGCAATTTCAATTCAGCGATTTCACGTTCCAATTGTTGCTGTTTAGACTGCAGTTGTGTGATTAGTTGTTGTGCGTCGAACAAGTTCGCTTCGAGGGTTTCCTTCTCATCTTTCAGCCGTGTAATCTGATCACCCAACTGTCGGGCGTCACGTTCCACAATTGAGAGCTACGAAGAAGCGCATGGGGTATTAGTTTAGATACCATAGCACACTACTCATGAATAGTATAACGAGGCAAAGTGAATTTTCCGGTCATAAATTGCTTTAAGTGGTAAAATGGTGACAAGAAAAAGTTCTACATAAATGAGGCATTGAGTTCTAAGGGGAAAACGAATAGGATAATAAAATAGCTGTTGATAACTGGCATAGAATTTTCCGGTGATAGTGATAATTTATGCAGCAGATAATTATCGATCAAGTCGTTTTTTTGTAGAAAACGCGTTCCTCGAAATCAAATATTGTACTGGCCGATCAATGTTCGTAAATGGCTGTTCCAAAATATTTCTTATCTCACTGGTATTTCGTAATTACTACATTCAATTAAATAATGTGCTGAGAAGACAAAATTAGAAATATGCTTTCATTTTATTATATAAAAATTGATACAAAACTGTAGAAAACCGTGAGTAGCATAAATGTGCCGCACAACGATTGGTGCCAAACCGAGGTTTATTAATTATTGATGATTCAAGTGAAATCCGATGCCTAATGTTAAATTTGCTCAACCGAAGCAATACTCATCGAAACCTCCAACATGTTTGTTTTTTCACTGCAAAGTGTTTTAGTAGACTTGAGCTCTAAAAGTAGTTAATTCCACCTAGTGAACCATGGGTATAGACATTCGAACCAAGTTTATATACATCAATACATTGGTAGGGAAAGACTGAATAAAAGTCACTGTCACACAGTATGAAGATGAGAAACTAATCATGGATGATTTGATGAGTGAATTCACTCGATCACTAGGTTGCGAGAAAATTGCCTATTACGAGAGTTGAAGAAGTGTGATGTTAATATATTCCTTACTTGGAACACTAAGTGAATCGAAGTCGAGAGTTTGGGATCCTTCTAATGTGAGAAACATAGTCTCCTAGGATCGCATCGAAAATTAGATTGCAGGCAAGGTTATATATTTGATTTTTATCGATTGATCATTCTTGTACGGCCTCGTTGAAGATAGTCATTTCACAACGATCTCAGTGCCCATGGCTGAATTACCAGTTGATTGTGAATGATATTGGTATTTTTTTGGAATGTCAATAATTTGGGCTTACTAACTTTTACGGAGCACTTAATTGATGAAATCTGACGAAATTATATACTTTGCGAAGTGATCAAACCGCCATTTCACAATACAGCTTACAAACATATCAAGGACTCAATCGAGTACAATTTCGACAGTCTGTCCCTTGAAAAGGAAATGAATCTGGGTACAGAAAGTGATCTCAATTACCCGATAGAAACGCGATAATCAGCGAACCGCAATCACACGTGTGTTCAACCCGTCAGATGTTTGCTTACTACTACCGCTACTACTACTACTACCACGCAAATCTAAACCCAAATTCCGTACGGAAATGGCCAACCGGTTAAGCGTCAATAACAGTTTCACTCACGCAGGGGTCATGTTTGGGATGAAACCGAAAAATTTTGGACTACAGAGAGAGAGACAGAGAGATTTTATTAAAGTAGTACAGAAAACAGGAAGACACTTAGACCAGTCAATCACTCAAACTAATACCCAAAACTGTTGACGGACCGTGCACTAATTTGCAATATGTCTGTTATACGACGGACACGGGGATTAGTGAACGCTGTATTGGACACGCAAAAGTACACATAAGTCATTTTTCCTTATAGCTGTAAAATGAAATTACTTAAAGAGATATGGTCTTAGGTATAATTTCACGGCAATTTACCATATGCAATCGTGCTACGCGTTCTCGGTATGGAGAATCAAATAAGAACAGAAATAAATAAATCTATGAAAAGAACCCACATTGTTGAAACGCAAAATGACGTGTAAAAAATGGGTGCGTGTGAAAGGTGAAAGATTTCTACCGATGCTTTCGGGACATAGATCTAAGTAAAGATATTTTGAAAGCTACAATCTATGAAATTTGCTCGTACACATTTGAACAGGTCCCTTGTGCATTGCTGATAATAGCAGATACAATCATAGATTGAAATCTGTGATTTTCTTTTCAACTAATTTTAATCTGAAGCCTAATCAGGATTAAATTAAATTTTATTATCAAAGGATCAGTTTTATCTCGTGAGGCACTCAAGGGTACAATCAGGAACCGGCTTCGATCGTTATCAAGATAACAAAGTTACGCGCCTGTTCAGTCCCCAAATTTGAGTTGCTATAGGTTACCAGGCAATGTTACGCACAATCGCGTTTAGACCGCCTGTGACAGTGATGGATCTCCTCCTCGGATTCTGAGAGTAAATGCAAAATCTGAGTGTCTGGTCTGTTTTACGAATATATCCAAGGCCTATCCATTTCAAGGAATGGTAAATAGCGAAACCTAAATAGGATATAATTAAATCAATAAACTTTTCAAACTAAAATCAAACGGGTTCAGTTTCTCGGGGGGGGGGGGGGGGGGAGGATATTTTGCAAATTACAGAAGGTTCCTCTGTGTATGTACGTATATATATATATATAAATTTGTACTCATTGTGTTTCAAGCCAATTTGAGTCGAGAGAATGACTTTGGTTAAGTCTCTAACAAGTAGTATCACTTTCATTGGGTCCCGAAGAAAAAATGCTTATTTGAATTCACGTCCGACACTTGAGTACTCTGATGATGATGCACATAGTAATGTAGCAGGAGCAGATTGGTACCGCATTTCGGTACCGCTATGGAAATCTTTGGGAAGAACTTTGGCTAATAAAGTAACTCACACTCTTCCGTCTACATAGTATGTGAACATTTGCATAGAGTACGGAGTTACCGAACTCAGTGAATTTCGGACACTGAATTTCAAGAGTGCCTGTGAGATCAGTTACTTTCCTGCCCACNCACGATACTGCAGTCCATGATACCGAAATCATCAGTAGGTTGGGGTGGGTGTCTAGGATTGTGACTGGGCACCATTCCCTTACACCTCGCAAAATGCTCCTATATGTCCAAGCGTCTCAAATAGCCTCTGTTGAGGAAGCTCTACTCACTGCCTTCCCGTGACGGAGGTATTTTCCAACCAAAGTGAGAGGATGAAAAGTCGAAATCCGGGGCTATAACCGGGTTGGCGAACCATTGGTAGTTCGCCTGAGGGAGTTGGCTAATAACCCTGATTCCAAACCAAGNCAATTGGGCATCAAGGTATATTGGGAACCTTGGACGTCTGACCTCGTCCAAAGGGCATATGATCCAACGAATTGCACACCGGCCCCCAATGAACTGCAAACTTTGAGCTCCGTCCTGTTGTCTTGCCGGTCTGGCTTTCTGGCCAAAGGCTTCGGATGGAAACCCCGAGGTTATCCTCCAACCTCGGCCAGAGCACCCGGGAAGTAAAATGCCCACACAAACTATGAACACATTCTTCAGACTTCTTCTTGTTCATATGTTGTGGCACATTTACCAGTTCTCTGTAATTGGTTACGTGTTGAAATAAATTAAATAATAATAACCTATGATACGAAAACTCATGTTAATCTGCTTTTAATGCAAAACGACGAATAAACAATTCGAACGTGAATTATTGGTCTCTCTGATTATCCCCCACAAGCTCATTAATTACTTTCCTCGATCTATACGTGATTAGTTTTCTAGAACTGGTACAAAATCTGCCTTCTCTCGTCCCGTTTTAATTCCATAAAGCAGTGCCGGAACGAGGACAATCAAGTATTGTGAAAACCGGTAAAGGTATCCGTAAACTGGCATACATACAACAAAATGTCTAATTTGGAACAGGTTTTCAGAATTCTCTCAGGCATATAGGATAATTAGAGGAGCGGTCCGACAGTATATTTATATTTTTCGTAGTTACCGTTTTTAGCACAGTCATCTGCTCCAGAAGGTATTGTTCTGTTTTGACCGTTGAGAGAAACAGTCAAACAAGTTATTTTACTCAGTCCGAACATACTACTACTCATAACAGTAGTAAACTGAGAGTCTATTCAAAATTTTGATGTATTTTTTGATAAACGAACAGTGAATGAAATATGTTTAGCGGTAAAGTAAAATACTACCTTGGGTAGTTTATATCGTATAATATTTTCATCTCATTCTGAATAAAGTTTACCAAGTTGTGCTCTTCGATCGACTTTGATCAAAATTGTTATCCCATTTTGATTGAACGACCTCAGAATGAAGTGTAAATCTGGAGTTCAAAGATCAACACAGAAAGATAAACATATTCAAGTTATCCGGTTCAGTGAGTTTCCAATCGATAGTTATTTGACTGAAACTGAACAATTTAGACGTGGATGGTAGTGCCTTTTTGCGAGTGAAATCTACGGACGCATTCTGTTCAAAACATACCAAACGCTCTGTGAAATCATTCTGTCGGTATGTTTTGTCGATTGGATTTTACCAACTTCAACCGGATGTGCGGATCAGTAGCTCTATAGTACTTTAGTGATTTTCATATACCACCCACATCTGCGGATTGTGAAGTGCACTTGCAGACATCCCGGGGTTTGGTTATTTTATTTCAGTCTTCTCGATGCCCCAGTCCAAAAATCCCGGTTGTTATGAAAATATTCCGTGGATTCATTGAGTCCAACAAAATATACCGTTCGCCCCAATTGGTGAAAATTTATTTGTTTGTCTGTGAAGAGTCACGCTTTGGAGAATTCTTATTTTAACACATTTTTTCTGTTTTCTGATAGTATTGTTGAAGCTTTGTAAAAACGTACCCACACCAACATTAATAAACAACAAACAATGTGTTTCTCACCATATTAGAAGTGAACTATTATTTTATTGGATTAGATAAGTATGTCGTGATCAAGATGCCATTGAGAAATGTTCCTGAATAATTTATTTTATTTTTTATTTCGGGAATCTTAGTTGCAGTTCATTGCATAGGTTTACACCGTATCATAGGCTGTCCGTATTAATCTTTCATTCAGCCATTATTTGACTCAACAATTATGTTACCAAGAAAACCTTTCCAGTTACAAGAGCAACAAACGCTCTATTCACCAACATCTACGATTATTCAATATTACAGTAATTGAACAATTGTGATCACGTGTTGTATACTCGGTATTTGACAAAATATATCAAATCGGTCATTGTAGCTCAAGTGAACTGAATGGATTTTCGCCTTTTTTCCCGAACTTGGCAATTTGTGAGGAAACTGTTCATCACCAACCAAGGTGATATCTCAAGTGCGTGTGAAGTGACAGTGTTCTGCTTGCACCCAATTGCGTATCCATGTCTTTCTCTAGTGAATATGTTTGTCCCTTGTTTTCATTGAGTTCGATCTGGTTCGTCTTTGAATTAGTGCACTGAGAGAGGGTGAGGGTTGTTTTTCCGTCTTGATTTCGGTTTTTGGTCTGTTCTCAGGTCAACACGTGACTTTTTGTTGCGTCATCTGATCCTTGAGTTGCACGTGATTCAGTTCGATGTATCTGTTTATCGAGTTCATTGATGAGTGCCAAGCTTCCAGAAATTATCTCGCTTGTTTTGACCGGGTGTGGTTGATGATTCTGATCGATTTGAAGTCGAATTAACGTTCTTCTTGATCCTCGACGAGAAACAGCTGGGGTAGTTGGTCATGTCCCCTGATTGTCAATTGGCTTTCAAGGATCATTGTTGATAGTTTTCCTCCCGCTTGTCTGGTATGATGTTTTGGGCAGTATTTGCAGTTTATTTTTCAGATAATATTTCCCTTGATGTAATGCAGAATTATTCTTGTTCCTGATTCTCCGTCTGTTGGTTGGTTCATTCGTTGAATCACAGTTCTCTGATGAAGTTACGGGAGTAGCCGTTGTGAGCGAATACTCTCAAAAGATGTTTTATTCCTTCTTTATGAGTGTATCGGTGCTATATAGTGTTTAGATTCTTCCCAACAGGTTCCTAATACAACATCTTTTTTTGGCTGTGTGGATGATTACTTTGAAAATTTGAGTTTTGATACACGTGCGTTGCTCTGCCCCGGACCGTTGGCTCCAGGTTTCCTGATGCTGTTCCATTAATCGAAATGTCAGAAAATGCCAGTTTGTTATTCTTCTCTGTCTTTATTGTGAATCCGATGTCACTAAAAGGGCTATTAGTGGTCTGGTGTGTTCTTTCTAGCACCTACTTCTTCAAGATGACAAATGTGTTCCAAAATGTGTTGGAGCTAACGTTTCAGCTTGGTTCTTGGGAGTACTTTCTTCTCCAGCTTCTGCACTACGGCTCCGGCTAGGAATCCAGATATTGATAATTCAATTGGTGGCCCTTTTAACTGTTCCTACATTTCGCCCTCCAATTTGAAGTACATTGCATGCACAGTTCCATGAGTTCGCAGATGGCATATGTTTCCATTGGTTGAAGGCTGCACTTATATCAACTCCTCCAATGTGGATCTTGTCGGGTCTAACTTGATTGAGGTGAACAAAGCGGTGACGTCAAAGGAGACCATTATTTCATCTTCTTGGATTTTTCGGGTTCGAGTTTTGTCCAGGAACTGCTTAGAGTTCATAACGCTTTGCACGTGTCTTGCAATGATCGGTTTCAGTAGATTCCATAATTCTTTTGGTAACTTGTATGTGACTGTTCCTGTGACGGACGCAATAGGAATTCCTTTCTGTTATATTTTCGACAGTCCGTGAAATTGTGCGATAGGGAAGGTTTTGGCTTTCATCCTCCAGTTCTCTGCTTTGTTTATTTGATACCGTTGGCATTTCTCGTTCAGTTTTCCCATTAGTATTGCACAACATCCGCGTAAACTGTGCTATGTGAACATCGATATCATTTGTTTGCGTCCACAATGTGCACAGTGTGATTATACACTATCATTCATGAATTGACAGAATCTGGGGGAATGTTTCATATGTATCAAGTAGGCAAAATTTCTACTGACATTCTGTATCGTCCCGAGTTCTTTTATCTACCAGAACCGGCAGGTTAGTGTAGCTGTTCAAGTTTATTCCCGTCTGGAAGGGCACACATTTGCGCACACGTTTGACGCTTGGAGTCTGTTGAAGCTCGCATCTCAGGAAAAAAAACTTACTTCAATACATACGTGATTGGGTTCGTGGTCAGTGAGAAAACCAGTTTTCGAATAATATCAACACAATACAGAACTTGTCATGCATTCTCCTTCATCTGTACTTACTCAGTCACCAAATGGGGAGTGTTCACAGATACGAGTACGAAGTTGTTAAACATATAAATTAAAATATTTGTTTACTTTCTTTTATTGAATACATAATGATAAAATTTTGAAGGAAGGTGGGGGAAGTGAATAATCAAAGAGCTTCCATAAAACACATTGAATGACGAAAATCAAGCGGCGCTGGTGGTGGGATTCGAACACACACGTCCTCTTGGGATGATAATTTGGTGACTCTATCACCGACCGGTGAATGGTCCATATTTATTATTTTTATTTGACAACATTCGATACGATTTATTATTCTGCATATTTTTCATTCATAGTTTAACTTGCAAATCTTCTGCAAATTGTCCCTTATAAAGCATGAATTTTCAAAATAAGAACATCATTAATGGCACCTCGAAATTTACTCTCGGGTGGCTTATCCGTATTCTGACAAAAAGAGGAAATTCGCCTCAAGACCTTAGCAGCCGTACATGAAAGCCTGCCAGCGTATCCGTGTACCGTTTTGTGAAGAGCAATACAGATAACACAAGCATCAGATTGCCAGTCATTTGGATCTGATTATTCGACGATTAGTTTGTAATGTGAATGCACATATTACAAAATCTCATTTGTCCTCGAATAGGAAGCCTCTTCAATCATATTTATCGTTCTTCCGTGTGCATTCAAAAACACGAATGTGAACCCTTTCCAGTTTGAATATCTCAGGAAATCTTTATCGATCGACCAGTCTACAACGTTCCCGGGAAAAACGTATTTCTTATATGTTAACGATGATATTCTATGTATACCCATGAAGTTGTTTCTATCGAAGTAAATAAATTTGATCTTGGACAGCACACTCCGAGCAGAATCCAATTCAGTGGGAACTTTTCTGTCAGAACTAAAAAGGTAACCCATTCCCATTTATCCGGGGCAACGTTCAACACATTAAAACGTTTGTTAATTTGTTTTGTCTTCTTTTTGCCTTCTATTATCTGACGGATTTCAGCTGTCAACACAGAAACGGAATGCTAGCTTTTCATAACGGATCAGGGCTACGCGCTGGATGGAGCTCATAAAAACAGGTCACGCAATCTGGTAAACGCCCGTTTCTGCTCAAGAAATGACTCACACCAAAGTAAATTTCATTCTGAACGGTTAATTGGTTCCAAATGATTCGGAAAAAATAATCTCAAACTTGCACAAGTGTGTGTGTGTGTGGAGTTATTATGAAAATGCATTTAACACTTGGAACAGGTCATCCAGTCAACCATACACCTGGAATTGAGTTTTGCTTTTATCACGGCTCATCAGTAGCACATATCTACTATCGTGTCCGGGCTTTGAACTCCGGACCAAAAATGAACTGGCGGACTATCAGTTAAGATAACGCCTGAGCAGACACGAATTGGCAATTCGGTTTAGCCTCAGTTCGAGCCGGTTGGCGCAGTGGTAACACACCTGCCATGCGATGGAGATAGACTTCCCAGCATTTGTACCACTAACTTCTGTTCTAGGCCATTTTTTCTATCGTTTCTAAGCAACGCAATCCTCGTTCCGTGAGCCCCAATCAGGAAAGCAGGATGCACCAAACGAAGTTAAAACTGGAGTTAGCTTCTTCATACATCTCCCCTATGTCATGGTCTGACCGCCGCGGTCATCCTCCCCACCTCGTCCAGCACGTGCAAAAAGAGCACGGAAAGGCACACGATAGAAAAGCATACTTAAAAGGTGACTGAGCCATTGTGCGTGGTGTAGAGTGCGTGCCTCTTCTAGAGAAGGACTCTCCGCACTCAGCGCACGTCGACGAAACTCGTCATTTCCCACTCTATGTTCCTACCAGACACGGGCAATGGGTCGGAGATATCGGTTGTCGAATACAAATGGACGGTTAGCATTCTCCGCCCGGAGGGTCCAGGTCTCGCAACCGTAAATCAGAACACAACGAACCATCCGTTGCTGGTTGGGACTGATCGACGAAAGTCAAGAAGACCTAGAGACTCTGCGTAGGGACTCCAGGGTGTCCCCGCACGATGTGCCAGACTGCAAAAAATGAACCATCAGAATGCAGAACATTTAATCACTGACTACCGAATTCTAAGTTCCAGCGTGTCTCACAGAATAACGAGCAATATATAGGGACTAACGTAACCCGTATCATTTTGCGTTTTGAATGGCAAGCAATCTACTTGTTTTATCTGCAACATCTTGATTTGTCCTAAAGCGTAACTTAGATCGTATTCTCATTCAACACAGGCCAAGTAGATCAAAATGCACCCTTGTTTTTTTGAGTTCGGCATGTTTGACTTGCATACCAAGCAACGTTTTTTGTTCAGAATAGTCCTGTTGTATGTTTGCTCGTGTTTTTGCTGTTATCGTAGTCAACTGCTGATGAGCAAGGGAAGGACAATACTATTTCAAACTGATCTTTTTGCCAAAATCAGGTCGAAGTGCCGTAAACAAAAAAACAATGTAATTTTTATGTGGTTTAATAAAGCATACCACCGGTTAGACTAATAGTTTGGCGTACTCGGGTTTTTATTGAATACTCACTTGAACAACCAGTTCTGCTTTCTGTTTTGCAACTGACTCTTTCTCATCAGACAGATGCGTAATCACACCGGCTTGTCTTTCATTCTCCCGACGATAGGCGGTCAAATCCTCAAGCATTGCAGCCTTTTGCCGCTCTGCCGCGTTCAGTGCCTCAACCAAGGCGAGCCGTTCATGAGACAATTCGGCATTTTCCGCTTCCAAACGATTCCGTGTCCCATCCACACGGGCCATATTATCTTTCAGCTGTTCTAGTTCAGCCGTGAGCGTGCCACGATCCGTGTAGACTCGATCCAGCTCTTCCCTGAGTTGTTGTCGCTCGGCTCGAAGACTGGCACGTTCCTCGGTGAGTCTGAGCTCAGTGGCTTGCGCCAGCGCAGTCTGCTGAGTCAGGTGATGATTGTCACGNGTGTGTCTCAAGCAATGTCTCCAGCTGGGCGACACGGTCTTTTAGTTGTGTTTCACGTAGATGTAGCTTTCATGAGGGAAGAATACAAAAAGAGAGAACTTCGTGGAAATTGTTCACACGTGATTTATGCTAAAATCGTAATGCGTTTGGCAGAATACCGGATGTGGAATTACGATTATATTTTTCCATAAGGTTAAAATAAAGTCAGTAAATTAACCAGATGAATGGCATGACGACGACGACGATGATGATGATGATAATGGTGATTATGATGATGATGATTATGATGATCATGATGATAATGATGATGATGGTGATGATGATGATGATGATGATGATGATGATGATAATGATGATAATGATGATGATGATGATGATGATGATGACGATGATGATGATGATGATGATGATGATGATATGGTTTACCGCATACATAGTGCAAGAAAATCGATAGTATGAGGGAGGGGTGTGGAGCAACAGAATGGCAATTATGTTGCAACAGGTGTCACAAGCAACTGTACAAGAGTAACCACTTGTATTAGAGTAATCGTAAATCACACCAATGACAGTAATCTGCTAACACTATTAGACTTCAGCCGAATGTGCAGCTCTCTTCCTAATCCTCTATGGTACATTTGGTGTGAATTTATATTGTTATTTATCTGTGTGAACTGACTGAGGTCTGATATGAGTGAGCACTCAATGGGTACGAGATAAGTCAGTAAAAACCTGATAAACTTAGCCGAGAGGGGTTAGAAATTAGTTCAATCTATGCGATAAATGGATTCATGAATGTACCTGAGACCACAATAACACATATAAGATAAAAGGCGTCTCGACCAAGTGAATATGCAAATACTATTATTATTATTACAATAGGGAGAGAGCATAAAACAGAGGTCTTCTACATTTCGGGAATATAACGAAAGACGTGTGATTTAAGCAAGATCTAAAATATTATGCAAGTAAAGAGCGAACGTTCTCTGATAAATTAATTTATTTTACACGGTCATTTGAATAGGTGTAGCATATGTCTGACGGCAGAGTACATGGTGTTGTTTTACGAAGATAGTATTCATATGCATTTTAAATATTTAAAAAATATATCGTACTTTTCAAAATGGTAAACGGCAAGGGAATGTCTGTTTTTCAGTAATAAAATGAGAACATCGGAATAGAAAATTTCATGTATGATACTCTCGTCGCTTTTTATAACTATTTATTATTTAAATATCATTGTGCATAATATAACACCTAGGGAATAACAAATATTTGTAGAACAAATTGTTCAGGAAGCCAAGTGACCCGATGGTGAATTAGCAGAATAGAGAATTATCGATCAATGATCGACTCACTTGTGACACCTTTTGCTCTAATTCATCCACTCTAGCCCGAGCCCGAGTTCCCGTTCCAACCGCGTCCGTTTTCTCTTGGGTCAATACCTCTTTTTCCAATTCCGTACGTCTCAAAGTTTCCCGAACAGACGTTAACTCTTCACGATAGCTGGCCGCTCGTTCTTCCGCAGTTTGAAGGGACACTTTAAGTGAATTCAGTTCCCGTGACTATAATAGGTAAGATAGATAGATAGATGTAGGTAGATAGAGGTAGATCATCGCTAACTTGGTATTCTCAGCGTAATATTTTGTCTCTAATACACGAGGCATAGCAAAATTTGCGAACGGCATCTGTTAATATATTACAAATCACAGTTCCATGTGAGAAAGATAATAGAATGCTTCCGGAATAATTGGTTTGTAATGTTTTACTGACGTGCTAACTCAATACCAGAAGAAGCGCATCATTTACAAACATGTTCTTTTTGCTCTCACTCAGCCCTAATGGTTTACTGCCGTATGCTATTCATTAAATAAGAAAGTATTCTACTGATTAGTTGTTATCCGTGGTTTGGGAGGCCATCCCATTTTCCCGTTTGACGCGAGTCTTTTATTACCCGTAACAGTACATATATATGAAGTAATTTCCATAAGGTCAACCAGAAAGGTGATTGGGTCATGTGTTTGATAATGAACTCGAGAGAACTCCGAATTTGCACGCTGTTTGGATTACGTAGTCCAAAATCGCTATGTTACGTCATGGACAGACCGTTTTCTCTTCCCTTGGCCAAGGGGATTTGAGGGCTTGGATATTAGTTTTCACTGTGCACCGCATCACTCAGGTTTCATGTGTGTTTGTGTTTTTTTATGCCCTGTGAGCTACCACTTCAATTTGATTACGTTAAGAATGCGTCCGGTATATTTTGCGGTTGCAACTAATGCAACGAAAAATAAAATTTCCGTATACTCGTATTACTACTCCTACCCCGAAATACGAATACTATCAAAACTATTAGCAACACTACTACTACATCTGTACTCATTCCCATGACCGATGAGAATAACAGCGTTATGAATCCACAAGGCGGTGCTCGGGCGAGGATAATTGTTTATTGTAGATTACAGTTGGGATATCACTAATTTGGCATACATAACAAAGAAATCTCATCTGAAACATACAACCGCAGTTCTTGGCAGCACGCCAGGCGATGATTATGACAATCGGTAGTTATTTTTTGAGACCCAGCAATTTGCCCTCGGCGGTCTTGTTAGTTTTATATCGTCGAAGGAAACCACCAACTAGTTCGCATACTACTCACAAATGTGAGTAGTACGTCACGACAACAGTAGTAAATTTATATGAATGAGTGTTAGATATAAGCAAGAAAAGGCCCCAGTACCACATCAACTCACCAATCGTTCAAGGTCGGTCTGCAGGCGTTCCCGATCGTTGACCACATCTTCCCGTTGTTTAGACACATCATGAACCATGCTTCGATGTCGATCCAATTCCGTCTGCAATTCCCGAATTTGTTCACCCAGACTGATTCGCGAGTTCTCGTTCATTTTCTTCTCCTCTTCCATCAGGCTAAACGTTTACGAATGCATATACCGAATAAACATACATTTTCGGTAAGGACAAACTTATCGTTAATCAATATTTTTTGTGAAATGAAATAAATCACAATGTAAATATACCGATCGCAATCGCTCCAATTGGAGGATTATTGAATCACCTGAAAGCATGAATATCAAGGCTATATTTAAATTCAAATAGGAAATGACTGTTGGGATCTAATCAAATAAAACAGATTAGTTTCCTAATGAGTGGTAAATGAATAACCGGACGAAATATCCTGGATGTATGAGAATGATCAAACTAAAGATTATCGGATAAGCATACCTGACTAGCAGCAAGAACCATGAAACCGATCGTGTGTGTCTGAAAAATTTTCTACAGTCATTCATATACTAATGATTATAAAATCACTGAAAATCGATCCTAGCGTCCAGTTGACTGAGGTTAGTCGCATTTAACCCACAACACTGCATATAGAATCATCGCAACGATACTTCCAGGTTTGTTCATCTCAAATCAACTTCTTGAGCTGCAAATGAGATTTACGTAACCTAGACTAGTTAATGATTCTCGTAAATTTTTAAATCTTTCTTCGTTCGCACTGGCCACACAAACGTAAATGCAATCCATATCAGTTGTCAAATAGAGGTAGCGGAAGAGGGTAAATAACTGTGGCGAACACGTGCACTGTTGTGACAAGACAGGGAACTTAATCTTGCCATGTATTGTCCTCTATTAGCCGGGAGTTGTAGGCTGCTAGTCCGAGGCAAAAGCAGATATGCATTTTCTAATCAGAGCATAAGGAAGAACGAAGCAGGAATTTCATCTCTTACGAAATTCGTCAGTCTGGTTGGACGCCATGTCAAACCGAGCATTTTGCATCAAACGTTTACCAAGCTTAGCAATTTACCATACCGATGAGGATTTCATCAGCAATTTTGTTCTTATTGCATGCACACTGCGGTGTCGAGCTCAACTTTGATCCTTTGTTCATTCATTGATCAAATTCTCCGCACGGGGATAACAAGTGTGAAAGGGTGAAGTTGGCTGTACAAACTGCAAACTGAATAGACCATACCACGGATAAGCGAATTTTGTCCCGGTTCAATTGTTCACCCACGAGGAGAGTAAAGGTATCGGTGACGAACCGGTGAAGGGTTTTAACGATCAGCATGACAAAACACGCACAGCTCCTAAAAGTGGATTCAATATCCCTTTATGGTATGCGTTCCGCCACAGCAATAAATCCCAGCTAAAGGTAAAAATGCACAGAGTTCGAACTAATCATCTGTGTTTGATTGTTCTAACACTGAGACGTGATCACCGAAATCGAGCGCACGGTAACGCGTTCGTATGAGCACGTTAAAGATCACCACCTGTGATGGTTAGGTGAGGCAAAAACCAAAACTATCTCAAGCCCAATCGGGGTCATCTAACAGATATCGTACACAAAAGGGAACCGACGAAAGCTCTGAATGTGGTTTTTGTCACATACAACTGAATCGATCGGAGGCGGCCGGAGTTCGGATACTAGCCACGGCCAATCGCTTACTATGCTACAGCCTGTGAGCCACCTACCCCCTTTCGCCCCCGCCTCCTCCAGCAAAAAAAGGAAGACTGGTTCACTGGATTCATTTGCTTTGGTCTACATTGTGAAGAATAAGACAGAACGTGACCCATACGGTGAAAGGTCAGAACAACTAACGAGTACACACACACCCGCGTGAGCCGCTACTCACTGCATCCAATTCACGACCTGAAATCGATCCAATCAATGGCTGTCATTATGTAAGCACTTTTCCACTGCACGATATGTGAGAATGTGCGTAAGAATGTTCAAAAACAATTGATCGGTAACCGTTTCTTTTTTCTCCATTTTGGGGTTATATCTAAAATTCGCAAAATACTTCTAGCAAAACGATAGATAGCCGACTAGGCAGTATAAATCCTTGATTAGATAAGATCAACCTACACCGTGACCATAGCTTTTCTGACATTTCAGATATTTCCAAAG